CATGTGCTGATAAATAAAATCCCCCTTAAATCAATCCAAAGATCGTTTCAATGTTCAAGAAAATTCAATATTTTGCAAATACTGAACTTCACACAAGCCAAAACTAAAATTGACATAAAAGAGGACTGTCTTATTATGCATCATTATTTTTATTGTTTTCATTGTGTATGGGTCATGTGAAGTCCAGCATTTTAATAAAATAGCTGTTCTACAGCAAATCTTGGCTGACCTTGATGCAGATTGAAAGAGCTTAGCATGAAACATCCAGATATGAAAATCTTTTATACAACAATGATCATTATGAATTTATTCCTCTAGGGTCTTCCAATAGAATAGAAGAATTCAAGTGATGAATTGGCATCCCAGTGAAAGAACTCGTTTATCAGTAGACCATATTCTTCTGGTGTTAAGTCGCATGCTCGTATGTCACTAGACCAACCCAGCTGCCTGACAATGTCATGACAACCAGGGCTGATCCCTTCCAATGCTGTAACCAATGGCTGCTTTGGCTTGATCATCAAAATTCGAATGAAATAGCCAATAATTGGTAAGGAATCTGCAGGTATTGAGACTTTTATATTCTTCTTCGGAACAATACTGACCAAGTGAAGATCACTTCTACTGTCTTTACGAAAAAAAGGGTCGAATGACGAGCAAGGTTCTCTATGTAGGACATTGATGTCGCAAAATATTGCAGCCATGATTGCCAACCTGTTGTAGTACCGGCTGCCTGGTCTAGCAAGCAGCCTTTCCAGTCTGTCTTCTGTATAAAAGAAGGCTAATTCGCATCGACCCATTTCAAAAATGCTCTCTCGAGTAGGAATCCTTGCCAAGTAGCTTATGAGAACCTTGGTTGTAGAAGCAATAGTTTTTCCTCCTTCGATCCCAACAAATTTTACTGGTATTTGATCAGAGTCCCAACTTACAGGCTCAAAATCCTTGAACAATTCCTTTGAGGCGATAGCAGGCTCTCTACAGACCCGAGGTTTAGTAGTATTCTGATCTGGTATCAAATGAGGGTCTATTTTCGCGAAGTCTGCGAACAACGGCTCAAAATTTCTTTCGCCAACTTCATTTTGAATTTCTCGTAAACGAGGAAGGAACCGTTTCTCAGGCTCTAGTCCAACGACTTTCCTCGCACCACATTTGACTAATTCCCTCGATAATAACCCAGGACCTGGACTAGTTTCGATAACCAGCTTACCCTCGACATCCAAAACCTTGGCTACTCTCTCAGCCACGTTTTTTTCTGTGAAGTATTTGTAATTTTTTACGGTGTTACTTCTCCGCTTTAAGTTGTATTTCTCTACTAAAGCCGCTCTTGTGCAATATGTGGAGTTCTTGAGGGTTTTTAGGTTGTTTTTGTGCAGGAATTTTCGGGTTAATTTTGACAAGGACCACGTTACACAACCCCTCGTGGTAGCCGCCATATTGGATTAGCGAAAATGCAAATGAGGACTCCAAAGAGAGGCAAGTACATGTAGTCAAGCTGTCAGCTTGACTCGACGAAAAATATTTCCTAAAATGGTTTAACACTCTGGGTTTCACATAAGGACTTATTCTCATGATTTTTTTTTTTTCTGGATGTCAAATTTTATTACTAGTAATTACTCTTGAGATGTTTTATCTCGTGTTTCTTGAAAAAGTTTTTTGGGCTACCTGTGTGTGTTGGATATAGTGAATACCTACGTTGATGATAAAGAAAAAATGATACTAAAGGGAATAGCATGTTGATTGTGAATGGGGCATTAGAGTTTTGGTCAAGGGGTAGGAAAGGGAATAGCATAGCAATAAATGTGCCTAAATGGTTAGATGAACTCTGGGTTATGATAGACAGGATTTGTCATGGGTTCCCTGTGGTTGTTATGGAGGCCCCGTTGTATCCTGGTCCAAGGAGAGATTTTCAAGATGGCGGAAGACAGGGAGGTTTTACGAGAAATCTGGGATGGACGAATACCCGTTTGCTTTAATCTTAGTTCAGAAGAAATTGTAACAGTCGAACAACCAGAACCGTATTATGTGAGTACATTTACTGATATTTATTTTTTGAGGCCATTTTCCCGTGAAAATTGTACACAAAATACAAGTGTAAACAAAATAATTTTGTCCCAAAACAAACTTTAAATTTTGTATGTCTCTTTGCTCAAGTTTTAATTTTTTTGTCATGGAAACAATGACAAATTAATGCTCTTTGATTCGTTTTGTAGCTTTTAGTACCAAGAATAAGCTATTTGATGTTGGTCACGGACAAAATCCAGAGACACTTTCAGCGGGCCGTGAATCAAGACAGCGTCGATGAGATGTGGTTCGAGTACGATGGACAGCCATTGAAATGGTAAGATGTCAGCTGTATTGATAATAGCATGTGTTTTGAAAGTATATACTGTTTGAAATTTCTCGATAACATATGAGATAGATCCATCATTTCATTTCTCCATTCATTTCTTCGTTCATTCATTTGTTTATTCATTTGTTCGTTTATTTGTTCGTTC